ACAAGGTTACAACAATAACCGGTTGTGAAAATGGGTTATTGATTAAAATAATACCCACTTTTTGGTTTTAATTTTTGTCCTTGGTGATGTGGAAAAAAAGAATGTGACATTCATTTGTTTGATCAACGGCTGAGATTCTATTTATTTATAACCCTTGTAATTTTTAAAGGCCATAATTTTTAAAATATAATTAAAAAAAATACATCAACAAATCTCTTATTCCTAGTAGGTCGAGTTACGGGCATTTTTTTGTGTTGATGTTGAATCTATTAAGATGATAACATCATTGTTAGAGATTTTTAGACAATATAAAGTTAAATCTACACACTTCTTTATCACATAAAAATTGTATAGTTCATAATTGGAAGTATGAAAAAAAAATTAATAAAAAAAAATTCAATATTAAACCTGAATATATATATATATATATATATATATATATATATATCAACATTAAAAGAATTATAAAAATGATACAAGGAAAATTTTGTTTTTATCTTGTAGAAAATGACCCCTTGTCTCTGAATTTAGATCTTGAGTCTTGCTTTCGTACGGGGAAAAAAATAAAAGAAAAAAAAAGAAATTTAGTTGCACTAGAATCTTCTTAGAGAAGGTAAGAAGACTAAATGAGGCAATTGACAATTTATGGAGGGAAATGAAATATGGCAGAAAATTGGGAGGGATGTATTTGATTTTATGTGATAAAGAAGTGTATAGATTCAACTTTATATTATTTTAATCCTTTTTTCTATAGGGACTTCAACCTAAACCATAGGCTATAATCATTACAGCAGAGTACGTTTACTATTTTAACAATTACTTATACTTTACTTGGTGGATTTAGTCTCCTTAGTTAGAGCATACCAAGCGGTTCACCGTGATGTATGGTTTTGAGAGAAAGAACATGGGAAAATAAAAAATAAAAAATAAAAAAAAAATAGAGGAGGGAAAATTTTGGGGAAAAATCTTGTTACAAAGTTACAACAATAACCGGTTTTGAACACACTATACTCTTCTTAGAGAAGGTAAGAAGACTAAAGGAGACAATTGACAACTTATGGAGGGAAATGAAATATGACAAGAAATTGGGGGTGTATCTAATTTTATGTGATTAAGAAGTGAGTAGATTCAACTTTAAATTATTTTAATCCTCATTTTCCATAGAGACTTCAATCTACACTATATGCTATAAGTATTACAGTAGAGTATATTTACTACTCCCTCCGTCCCATAATACTTGGGATGTTGGGCTAGATACGTAGTTTAATAAAACTAAAAGTGTGTCTATTTAAAATATTTATTTATTGTATAAAGATTCTCTTTTGTATTTTTATATTATAAGAAACAACAAAGTGGGGTGGGAGTAGGGTAGGTGAGGAGAGAGAATATGTGAGAAAATATTTTTTCTATTAGTGGTCCCATTACATTTTTAGTAACGTGTCAAGTATTTTAGGACGGGAAAAATTGGTAAATGTGTCAAATATTATGGGACAGATAGAGTATATTAACAATTAAATATACTTAACTTGGTTGATTTAGTCTCCTGAGTTAGAGCATACCAAGCGTTTCACCATGATGCATGGTTATTGAGAGAAAAAAAAATAAAAAACTGGGAAAATAATAAATAAATAAATATATATATATATATATGAGGGAGAAAATTTTGGGGAAAAAATCTTGTAACCAGGTTACAACAATATATAACGGGTTGTGAAAATGGGTTATTGATTAAAATAATACCCACTTTTTGGTTTTAATTTTTGTCCTTGATGACGTGGCAAAGTAGAATGTGACACCCATTTGTTTGATCAGTGGCTGAGATTTACTCTAAATTTATAACCATTGTAATTTTTGTTACAAATATAATTTTTAAAATACAATTCCAAAAAATAAAAAAAATAAAAAATCATCAAATCCCTTATACCTAGTACGCCGAGTTACAAGTTATTTTTGTGTTGATGTTGAATCTATTAAGATGATAACGTCATTGTTATAAATTTATAGACAATATAAAGTTGAATCTACACACTTCTTTATCACATTAAAATTGTATAGTTCATTATTGGAATTATGGAACCAAATTTGATAAAAAAAACAAAATCAATATTAAACCTGAATTTATATATCAGCATTAAAAAATTGTCAAAATGATATAAGGAAAGTTTTTTTGTTTACCTTGTAGATGATGACCCTTTGTCTCTGAATTTTGATCTGGAGTATTGCTTCCGTATGGAAAGAAAGAAATTTGGACACATTATACTCTTCTTAGAGAAGGTAAGAAGACTAAAGGAGGCAATTGACAACTTATGGAGGGAAATGAAATATGGTAGGAAATTAGGGGGGTGTATCTGATTTTATGTGATAAAGAAGTGTGTGATTCAACTTTATATTAATTTAATCCTTTTTTTCCATAGGGACTTCAACCTACACTATAGGCTATAATTATTACAGTAGAGTATGTTTATTATTTTAACAATTACATATACTTAACTTTGTGGATTTAGTCTCCTTACTTAGAGCATACCTAACGATTCACCATGATGCATGGTTATTGAGAGAGAAAGCGGGAAAATAAAAAAATAAAAAATAAATAGGAGAGGGAAACTTTTCGGGAAAAAAATCTTGTAACTAGGTTACAACAATAACCGGTTGTGAAAATGGGTTATTGATTAAAATAATACCCACTTTTTGGTTTTAATTTTTTTCCTTGGTTACATGGCAAAGGAGAATGTGACATCCATTTGTTTGATCAACGACTGAGATTTCTCTGAATTTTTAACCATTGTAATTTTTGTAACAGTCATAAAAATTTTAAAATACAATTCTTAAAAAAAATACATCGAACGCATTTCCGAGTTTTGATTGCTCATACACATCGATTGCTGATACACATCGAACGCGTCAGATGACGACAATGAACCAGAAGTTGAAGAAAATGAAAGAGGTCATGAAGGAGGCAATCAAGATGGAAGAACAAAGTTTTGGTCAAAAGCTGAAGAAGTGGTTCTTGTGAAGGCTTGGCTCGAGGTTAGTCAAAATAAAAAATAAATAAATAAATAAATAAAAATTAAAAAAAAAACTAACACTAACCAAAAGGGGTATTTTTTTGGAGGAAAATTGAGGAAATGTATAATAATGTTAGATTATACAAACAAAGGTGTTTCAAAGAAGGTACTGACGGGGTAACACGAGAAGATTTGTTGAAAATGAGGGGTATGGAGCAAATTAGAAACTGCTGGAGAAGCATCAATGCTTTATGTTCTAAATTTTGTAGTTCACATGCTCATGATGAATTAAGAAAGGGAATGGTCAGAATGATGAAGATGTTAGCATATAGTATATATGCTGCCAACAGAACAAAGACATCATTGATGTCTAAAACCTTTCAAGACAAGCATGTTTGGGACATCCTTATACAACATGATGCGTGGAAGCCAAATAATGATATTGTTCAAAAATTCAAGGAAAATACATCCACTCAAGGAAGTGACTCAAAGAGATCACATGTCAATGAAGCTGGCAACTACTCATCTTCATCAAACCCAAAAACACCAATCAGTGGTGATATTGGGTATTCAGGCTTCCCTTCTAGCAGCGAATCTAGAAAAAACAAAGGAAAGAGCAAGATGGAAAACATGCCACTTGGATCATGGCAGAAATGGTTGGACATTACCCAGAACATGAACCTTATAAGGCAATCTGAAAATCAAGAGGAATTGAACTTACAAGGTTGCAACTAGAAAGGGAGAAAGAAGCAAGGAAGCAAAGAAAAATTAATATGGAATTATTTAAACATCTCGATTCAAAGCCAAACTTATCTTCGGAAGACCCAGAACCAAGAAGCAATTTGTTGAAGAAGTTGGTCCCCTTAAACTAATGTATTAGTGTTGTTGATTATAGTTTTACTGTTGCTTGATTTCTAATAATTTTTTTTTAATTTTTTTAGTTTGGCAATTTTAAATGTGTTGTTGATTTAGGATATGAATGAATGTTATGTTGTAATGTCATTATTAATAAAAAAATAAGTTAATTATTTCATGTCCCATCTTAAAATCGTATTATACACTTAATTATATTATTCAATACATTAAACTGTATATGTATTAACATACAATTATTATTGATCTGACTAAACCTATCAATTCACTTTGATATATCACTGCAAAAGATGTACATTGATTTACATTACACTAATAAAGAATTGATGTACCCAACAATGAAAAGCAAATATTAAAAATACTAGACACTGATGTACTTAACACTGAAAAGGTAATAGTGAAAAATACTATACACTGATGTACTTAACACTGAAAAGGAAATAGTAACATTACTTTGCTTTGACGTACATAAAAATGCTAAGGTGATAGTGACGATGCAAATGCATGCATCTACATTACTGAAAAATTATTAACTACTTTCTGAATCAATGCATGCAAGACTTAAAATTTATCACATAAGACAATAAAGATGACTCTATACCATACACATTTGTTCAATAAGATGGATGAGATGCATTTCACTCGATCAACCATCCATTTATTCCCATAAAAAAACTCTACCTTCCATTCTCATATAAACTTTGGTTTAAAAACATGCCATCCGACGAAAGCTCCAACTCTTCTAATTCCTCTTCTAATTCAAAAATAGCCAAACCCAACGATATGAAAAATGAAGGCAAGTCAATTGTCTCGTTGACCGAATGATGGATGAAGTTCTTATGTCCAATCCAATTGAAGTATATCAAATTTTAAATCAAGTTCCAAGGGCACCAAGGATCCCCGTTCCAAGGGATCGTGAGGATGGACACAATCATTTATGGAATGACTACTTTGCTGACCCTCTTATTTCCCTCCATAGTTATTTCGTCGGAGATTTCGCATGAACAAACATATCTTTCTCCGTATAAAGCAAACTTTAGAAGAACGTCATCCCTTTTTTCAGCAAAGACAAGATGCTATAGGAAGATTTGGTGCCTCTGCATTGCAAAATGCATAGCCGCTATGAGGCTAATAGCTTATGGCACCTCTGCTGATTCTGTGGATGACTACATTCGAATTAGTACATCTCTTACAAGAGATTCCCTACAACATTTTGTGGAAGGAATTGTCTCTTACTTCAGTGATGAATACCTCAAAAAGCCCAAAGAAGAAGATTTGGTAAGACTACTAAGAATTGGTGAACGTCGAGGATTTCAAGGCATGTTAGGTTCTATTGATTGCATGCATTGGTGGTGGAAAAATTGTCCACTTCGATTAAAAGGTATGTTTTCTGGAAGACCGGACAAACCCACATTAATCTTGGAAGCTGTGGTATCATATGATCTTTGGATCTGGCATGCTTTTTTCGGGACACCAGATAGTCGTAATAATATTAATGTTCATGATAGATCCCCTTTGTTTAACGATGTTTTTGAAGGTCGTGCACCTTCTATTAACTATGTTGTGAATGACCGCCAATACAATATGGGTTATTATCTCACTAATGGTATATATCCTAAATGAACAGCATTCATTCCTACAATATCACTACCACAAAATGAAAAAGAAGATCTTTTTGCCAAAGTACAAGAAACTAGATGAAAGGATGTTGAGCGTGCTTTTGGAGTAATACAAGCTCGTTTTGCAATAATACGAAATCCTGCGCTAGCTCATGACTAAAGGGAGTTATTCAAACTCATCTTTGAGTCGAACTGTGGTTCATGCTTCAAGCCATGGCAACGCTCCAAGGAAAAGAAGTTAAAGAAAAAGAGTCGCCAACAAGTTTTAGGAACTTGTAAACCGTTCACGGGTGTGAAGGTTACACTCCATTCACGATCACGGAGATCGCTAACTCCATAGTGGTCTGGAACCATGACTGGATATTCGGGGATGATAGTACGAATACAACCTAAAAGAGATTGAACCCGCCCTAAATAGGCATGTACTTAATTCTTATGATATTCATATGCGCTTTTCGATCAACATACATACATTAAATTAATCCTAAACCTATTTAATCTACGATGGTTGATTATTAATGCACAATTAAATCTATTATTGGTGATCACTTGAATTAAAATCATATTAGCCTAAATCAAATTATTAATTATCTTATTAGGCGCGATTTCAAGTACAAATTTTCTTTAAACCTGCAAAAAGGGGCGTGATTAAGCAATAACAATAAATTATGAATAATCAAGCAACATATGATTAACACAACAATCATCATCATATAATATCATCAAAACATTGTTAATAGTAAGATCCTAAGCATGATACTAAACAGATTAATTACAAATCCTAACATGTCACTAATAAAAATCATAGCGTTATCCTAAACATGATTCCATCAATCAAAATCAACATCCTAATCATGATACTAGAAATCATTAAAAAAAATCCTAACATGATATTAGGAATTAAAATAATATTGTAAACATGATTTCTACTCCAAAATCAAAGAACGATAATAAGGGTGATTGAACTACTCACTTTGATGCCTCAACCTTCTTGCTATTAAAACAATACACACGTTAGTAAACTTCAAGAAAGTGAAATCAATAAAGTAAATAATAAAATATGAATTGAAACATAGATTTGGAACCAAACCCTCAAAACTATCAACCTTTCACGTCGAGGTCGAAGGCAACGTCGAGAATAGCTAGGAGTATTCAAGTTTGTGAAGGAGGTATGGTGTTTAATTTGGATGAGTATCAAGGATATGTTTAGGGTGTGCTTAGGCTAAGGCTACGAACATGGGATTAAGAGAGAGAAGAGATGATTAAGAATATTAGGGGTGATGATGATGACTGTTGGTGATTGAAAATGGGGTGAAACGACCTCTATTTATAGGGAAAAAAGAGAGTAGAAGAGACCAGAAAAGATCCGAATACGAAACAGAATAAAACAGGTCTCATGGCAGGGCAATAAGAGTATCGCGTCGCGACAAGGTCCATCGCGGCGCGATAGTTTTGTCTTTTTGCGATGGTTTTCTAAAGATAAAAATCCGTATGGAGTTTGATTTCAATCGGATTGGGTTAATCAAATATCCATACGTATTCTATTTTGACCGGGATTAAGATTATCAAAACAGAGATGTTTTATTCAATATCAAATTATTTAATCTCATCTTTTGGGAAAGGATAAATTAGAACCTTCCAGATAATTCTAGAAGCTCCTAATGAATCCTAATTGGTTTAGGATTGGAATTAAGGTATTTGGACCCTCACATGATCATTGGGTCATAGGTAAGGTGGACCTAAGTCCAGTTTGGGCTTGGTTTAGTATTTTGGCCATAACTTATTCGTTATAAGTCGAATTTGGGATTATAATATATCGTTGGAAAGCTCTTTTCAAACCCCATCCAACTAAGGAATAATTGGATTGAGATTATGGACCAAATAAATCTGGTTTGAACGTAATTATGACTTGGACATGAAATGAATAATTTAAAGACATAAAATGAATTATTTTGGGTTTAAAGACACCAAATGAATGATTTTGGGTTTAAAGACACCAAATGAATTATTTTGGATTAAAAAATTTTAGGATAGGTTAGAAATACGGTGAAGGCTTAAGGAAACTTCACGAGACTCTTCAACTCTTTACAGAACTCATTAATCAAATACGTGAAAGGTGCTCATCACTGGGGTTGGTTTTTTGGGAGACACAATCAGGTGTCTATAGTGACGCATCAATGTTAGGAAAAATAATGGTAGCGTGTATCATTATACACAATATGATCGTTGAGGATGAAAGAGATACATATAAAATCTATTACGATCCAAATGAATATGATCAATCTACAGCTGCTTCTTCAAGTAATGGAAATAATGAAGAGCCTTTTCAATTCCAAAATAGCAACAACCGAATTGCGAGTTTTGAAAATTACATGTCTAATAGAGCTCGTGTTCATGATGAAGCTATGCATAAAGCCTTAAAGAAAGACTTAGTGGAACATATGTGGCTCAAATTCGGTGTTAATAGTAGGCAAAATAATATGCGTTAATGGACGTGTAATCGTAAAATTAAATTATTGTGTTTGTACTTAATCACGGGTCGTTGTTATCTTTCAAAAACTGTTGTCATTTGTTAGAATATGTATCATTTTTATTATTATGGAATTTAGTATAGTTGCAATTATTGGTTATTTCTTAATCAACGACTAATTACTTACTAATTAAATCTTAAAATGCATATTTTTAAACATAAGTCATTTTATCTAATTAATTTATGTTAATGTATAATTATTAGTTTTGATTGATTATTACCAAGTGCATTATTATATATGATAGGATTTAAGAAAGAGATTGTGTGGTAGAGTTGGGTAAAAGTAGGAGAGAAAATGTATAACCAAAAAGTTGTGGTTAACTATTGAGATACATTGGTTATTCAATGGGTATAAGAGTGGTGAGGTGAGGTGGAAGATGAAGAAATTATGAAATAACTAATAACCACAATGGTTGTAGGCAACCATTGTGTTTGCTCTTAGTGGTAACGTGTACAAGAGTAATCAGGATGAAATTTAGATTTAATTTGTTTGCATTTATATTTCATATAAAAATAGTGATAACAAAGTTCTTAATTTTATGTTAAGTTCATGTGTTGACAAAGACATGATTAGATTTAAAAAAAAAAAGTTTTGATAATTTGAATGAGATAACAAAAAGTAATTTAAAATTAGTAATACAAGTGTTAATAAATTAAGATAAATTAAGGAAAGTTTAAATAAAATAAGTTCAAATAAGAAAAGATAATGAGTAATGAGTTCAAATTTGATAAATTAAAAGGCTAATAAGTCAGATAAGATGAGGACTATTGAGTTTAGATAAGATAAGATGAGTTATAGTTTATTTCTTAAGTTAAGGATTAGATAAGGGTTGCTTAGTCTAAACTACTAAGTGTAGGTTAGATAAGGATTACTAAGTTTATATAGGATAAGTTAAGGATTAGTAACTTCAAATACGATAAGATGATGAATAATGAGTTCAAGTTAGATAACTTAAATGCTAGTAAGTCAGATAAAATAAGGACTACAAAGTGTAGATAAGATAAGGACTGCAAAGTCTACATGATTTATCGTTTAATATGTTTAAATGAGATATTTTTAATCATGACTAATAAGTTCATATTTGTAACACCTCCAAATCTCCCACTACAAAAATACTAGTATAATACGTATAATTATACCGTAGAGATAGACTTAGGCAAAGATAGACTTAGGCGTATTACTGCCACGTGATTACGCAAGGCTACTCAAACTACTAAACAAAACCAAAACTTTACAGTGGAAACTCAAACTCTTCCTTTATTAATACTTAATAAAATAGTAACCATTGTTGTGAGTACTCAAAAATAGAAACAAAACCAACATTCGTAAAACTAGGTGAAGAAAATGCCGGGACTCCCAAATGCTCACTTATTAACTCCACCTGAAAATAGTTAACACTTCTTACCATCAAGGTAAATAGGGCAAACTAAAACAAAGAGGAAATACGAATTAGAAAAATATGCCAAGTACATTTAAGTGCAAGATAAGTAAACTCAATTTATTAGCAAACATGCTTTTAAAACCAATTCTAATAATTAATCCAATAATTCCAAACTCATAATTCCAAACCAATCCTCAAGATTCTCAAAACAATTCCAATAACTCAAAAATTCAATAATAATGATTATTAAATCAATTCCTCTTTTTAAAAACCCAATTCCTCTCCTAAGTGTGCACACCCCCCAAGTTAGTATATTTATATTTAAAGGTTATCCTTGAGGAAAGACTCGGTCATACAAAGTCCAAAGTCTTATCAACCAAATCCGCATAGTAGAATTAATATAATCATGCTTGTAAAGCTTTATTAATAATTCAATTATTTAATAATTTCTCCTTAAATCAATAATTTAATCCTTTATGATAATTCAACTCAATACTCCTTTTTATTCAACATGCTTTCAAAATCAACCTTTTAAACATAATAAATAATTCAATCATTCAAAACATGATATTAAAATCCATTCTCAACCATATTTATTAAAACATGGATTCTCAAACTTTATTTCATAAATCATAATTCAAATCAACTTAATTCAATCATCATCAAAATCACACAAAACATGCTTATTCAATCCAATCAATTTCAAAGGGATCTGGGCACTTAAATGTACCTTGATCCTCACTTAGAAAACACACAAAAAACCTCAAGAACTCTTGTCAAAAACACCCTACAATTAAATATAAGCTTAATCAATATAAGTTTCATCAAATAATCATAACAATTAAAATAAAACCCCCAATTATATGTACATGAACCTTATAAAATATCTTTTCATAAACTTGAATAATAAACTGATTTTATTTAACTAAAAACACTCATAATAATTTTTATAAAACCCTCATAATGATAATAATATAATTAATTAGGAGAAGAGAAGAAGAGATAGAAAACCGAGAAGAAGGAGGAAGAAGAGGCACGGCAAGGTGGCAACAGCTCACCAGAAAGTGGTTGCTACTGGCGGGGGTGGCGGCT